GCAATCCTTAAGCGTCGCACAGGACATGCACCTTATTTTGGACTGCGACCTCCCCTCCCACACAGCCACTGGCCACTCACACGCTCACCCACACGCCCACACACACTGGGGCAAACAATGAAGCGAAATTTTTGCGCTCTGGCATCCTTAAGGCGAAATGTAATTTCCTGTGACAAAATACAAAGCTAATCCCCACACAGAGAGACACACACACACACACATACCGAGACAAGGTTGCAAGCGAAGCTAAAGTTGGCCAAAGGATTTGTGTGTTTGGCCGTGTGGCTCAAGTGTAGCAGCCAGTGACTTCGATACGTGCAGCGAGCCATGAGAGCTGGACTGACTGCTGTACTCCTCCTGCTGATGCTGCTCCTCCTGCTGAGGCTGCTGCTGCTTGCCGTGAGTCCGTTGTCTTAGTAGGCAGGTCAAGGCTTTGCGGCTCCGATGGCTCCTTGGCATTTGGCATTTGATGAGCGTGGCGAGCCCTTGGTCTTATTGCAGGTGCTGCAGTAGTAGCTGGAGTGGCTCTTAAGCCAGGACACAGGAAACGCTGTGCGACAACAAAAGCGCTACACAAATAGCCAAGGAATTTCAAACTGACAAAAATAAATCGAAAGTTGAACTTTTGTTGTTGCTGGCTGGGGCAGCGGCAGCGGCAGCGGCAGCAGCAGCTGGCAGGACATTTGTTCTGGGTCTGATTGCCATCGAATGTTATATGTATTCGGTCAGGGGCTTTCGTTTGATTTCTCAAGTGTAAACTACGCCCCGGCAAAGACTTTATGCCCTGTCACACAAATATCAATATGAAATCGAGCGAGGATCCCAGCTTACAAATAACCGCAACAGCTGCCACATGCGCCAAACTACTAAAATAGCAAGGACATTAATTGAATGGAGCACGCACTATGCCAACAGGCAGGAGCAGGCAGCAAAAATGCCGTGCTGCAAGTTTTCATTATGCTCAATTTGAAGCCAAATTGAAGAGCCGTCACAGCGATTTAAGCGAGTGAAAGCAAGCGCTAACTGAATTCAACAGTCGATTGCCCGCATACACCCTCACCTGTTGTTGTTTGCGAGCCAGACAGGTGGCCCGACCAACGCACAGTGGTTGGCAACTCCATTTAATCACGCAATTCAAACGGCATTGAAAAACTTTTTGTTTATTTTGCGCTTCATTAAAATGTCGATGTTGTTTTTTGTTTGCGGTTCCAGCTTTAGTTAAAGCCATTTTGGACTAGTTGTGAATCTATTTGCATAGCATTCGCCAAACAAACAACAAACGCAAATAAATCTCATATAATCACTAGAGAAAAGTTTTTGAATTATGCTTAAAAACCCATTAGAAATTAGGCGAACCACTTTATTTTAATGGAAAAAATGTTGCAGCTTGCGAATCCAGTCAAAATCAGATTAAGAACGATTCAATGAACACAAATTAAATATAGTAAGTAAATATGCTGGGAATTTTGAGCAAAAGGCAAAGAAATTGAATCAGAAAATATTTCGCAGGGCAGCCTTGCAACGGTTATTTAAAAATGCGCAAGAAACTCGGTTAAGCTTGATCGATAGTGAATAGAAATGCGCCTGTGTAGCACAGTGTAAGAAGCAACGAGAGACCTTTGCAGCTCACGAGCAGCATTTGAATTCAAACGGCAAAGCTCTACACGCAGATTGACTGCAAATGAAACAGCTGCAGGCTAACTTGGCTGAGCCAGACGGACATGAGAGAGAGAGAGAGAGATAGGTAGGGTGGTTAGCTAGAGAGAGAGAGATAGGTAGTGAGTGACGTAGATAGGTTGTCAGTTGGCCATTTCCATACTATTGATACGCTTGCATGCATTGGCTTTGTGTCAACGGTTCAATACGCTCCACTCCATGCGAACGCTACGCATAACTTTGTGGGTCAATAAGCGTGTAGCATGCCTCACGACTCCCAAAAATGCCATAACGTTCGCTGTCTGTTGGCCCCTTCAATCTATCTCTCTCTCTCTCTCTGTCTCTCCCCTCTGTTTTCCTATCTGTTGCAGTTTGTTATGCCAACTGCGTAGTGACATGAACGGCATGTGTGTATGCGTATGTGTTAGTCATGGCTAACAAGTTAGGCCACGTCCACGTTGCACGTTGGTCAAAGAGAAGGCTCCGTTTTGTTTGCCTGTCACAACTTGTGGGTTGCCCTTGTCGTGCCCCTTCTTCTGCCTTCCCCCATGTTGCTTCTGTTGTTGTTGTTGTTTTTGCTGCTGTCGCTACTGATGCCATTAACGCGTGAATTGTAGTGGCTGTCAGCAATCGCAGCCACATTGTTACCCAAAAATCCATACACCCACACGCACAAAGAGAGAGAGAGAGAGAGGTACAGAGAGAGAGAGAGAGAGTCATCCCCCACTACTGTGGACCAGCTTTTGAGGGTTAGCCAGATTTTGCTGTTGTTAGTCATCGACTTAGCCATGAAATGCCATTGGTTGTGGTGTCAATCAAGAGGACAGCAACAGCAGCAACAGAAGCAGCAACATCAACAGCAACAGCAACAAGAGATAACATCGCACGTTTGGCATACAAAATTTGCATATTTGAATAGAGTATTATTATTTTTTTTTTTATTAGAAAAGTCTTGGCTGGCTCTGCATATATTAATATGAAAATTAAATAAAAATCTTTAAATTACATTTTTCTATTTCATATCTGATGTAGCTGAACGCAAACTTAAAACTGTCTGAAGCTACACAGATATGACTGCAGACGGAATAATTTTAAAATTCTTCTAAAGGAAAATTGTAATGAAATATTTAGACATGAAATACATTTGGCTATCAAGATAGAAATTACATTTTCATTCAAGTTAATTCGAAATAAGCCTAATCCCAACCTTTAGCTGATAGCTCGGGCAGAGTATATTCATTTCCATGTACTGCGAGTGCATCGAGTATTTTTGTGTGGTATTTGCGATTGGAAGAGTGAAAAGTGTGGCCTGTGGGCCAGGTCGTTTGCACTGCCAGCCACTTCATTATTTTGTTACCGCCCAGCTGCACCTGCAGGCGAGTGGGCAGTGGCAGGAGCAGGACCAAAGGTGAGGGGTGTGGTATAAGTGTGACACTACGTATTTCTATGCATTCATGCATAATGGCTGGCAAACGTTTACAATAGCTGCAGCATGGATTTCCGCACGCTGCCATTTGCGGTCCATTTGCGGCCTGCGGCCAGCCAGGCTGAGGGCTGAAGGCGAGCTGGTCGGCTTTGGTCACCCAGGCGCCGTTAGCATGATTGAAAAACGTGCCAGCTGGGCAGACCGGGGCCGGGCCCGTTCTCATGGCATGGAGGGCATCGAGACTCTAACCTCAGGCCAAGCCCATTGCCAGCTGTGTGCACCGGCTTAAATTGCATGCCATTCTGTGTGCTGTCACTGGCATTGTATTGTTCTGTGGTTTTACTCGATGTTGTTGTTGTTGTTGCTGTTGCTGTTTGTATTTGTGTTGACGTTGCTGTTGTTGCTTTCCCTTCACAATTACGTAATTTATTTTAACTGTGTCAAATCCACGCCAATCGACAGCGATTATACTGGCAAATTGCAACAATTCCTTGCCAGCCATTCCAGGTCCCGATTGCAATTTGTTAACGTCGCTCGCATCCGCATACGATCTCGCCCCAAATGGCCACTACGCCATCAGCCCTGCCACTCACTTGGCTGGCCTGTGGCTGCTGCTCGTCTTCGTCTTCGTCTGTTCGCCATCGTCGTCGCCGTCGTCGTCCTCGCCAATTAACCGCACTGTGCTAATTAATTTGCTCATAATTGATGCGATTATGTGTTTCATTTGTGCCCAAAAACAAGCAACAACTGGCGCCTGGGGCAACATCTATATTGCTGCCCCACATCTTGGCTGCCTCGCTCTCTGCTGCTGTTGCTGCTGCTGCTCTTCTCTGGCCATTTATGCGCTGCAGTTCTTTGCGGCCAGTCCGGGTGGAAATCAAACGAATTGAACAGGCGTCTTGCACAATTTATAGATGTGCGGCGAGCTGGCCAGCTGGCTGCCACAAGATGTCGGAACTGTGCCAAATTGAAAGCGGAAGTCGTGTTTTGTGGCAGCACCACCACCAACAACAACAACAACAGCATTCGCATCCGCCCATTCTGCCTTAAGCTGATTTGTATCTATTGTCTTTGGCCGTTTCAATTGCCGCTTGCCGTCTGGCGGCTGGCGCGCTTAACGCTTGGCACGACTTGCCACTTAGCTCGCGGCAACGTCAATCACATGACAAGTGCATGCAACACCGTCGCACGCAATTGTGACTTCATAAAATGACCCACCGTTGCGGTTGCCGCTGTGCTGTCATGGATCTATATGCACCGTTGCCCATGGCCCTGGGCCCAAAAACATTGTGTGTCCATTGCGGCCCCCTCTCGTCCCGGCCCTACGCCTCTGCGCCATTGGAAATTGCGCACAAATTTGCTAAAATGCCAAAAACATCAGCGACAGAGGCATGCAGCATGACAACAGCTGCCTCGGCTGCTACTTCATGCCACTTCATGTAAAGTGTTTACCGCTTTCAATGCGGGCTTCTGAATACCCTCTAATCGAGTAACAAAAAGAAAAATGTTTAAATATGTAAAATATAATGATAACAGAGAGTCTGCAGCTGGGATAGTCTTGTCTTTAAGCCATTCGATAGTTTTCGCTAATAAGCCCCATCTTTGTGCAATCACTGTATCGCATATATGCCAAGGTAATCAATCACTTTGCAGCACTCACACAACGTTTATAGTCAGTCGCACACATCCCACACTGTGCCAGGCTTTGCTGTGCTGTTACGAGCGGCGCCTAGAAGCATGCAACACTTTTTTCTTGCACAGCGCACAGACAGTAGCTGCACGTACATACATTAGCGTTAAAATCTGTGTGAGTGCGTGCGTCTGTGTGTGTGTGTGGGCGGGTGTCGGTGCGTTGGTGTGTGTGAGCTGCACTCACAGCAGTCGTCGTTGTAGTCGGGCTATGTCGGTAGGTACTTACCATTTAGAACATGCACACGCACACTGGCAACATCTGCGTTGGAGGGGGAGCACGAGTATTTGCCGGAATCGGCCAGATCTGCATTCTGTATGAGCAGAAATGAGGTTGTCACATCGCCCTTTTCGGTAATTACCGACACGCCGCCTCTTGATGAATCATAATTAATGACCTGCAAATGGAAGAGCATTACGCCGAGAGGCCCGGTTAGTGAGTGAGTGTAGGCAGAGCAGAGCAGAGCAGGGCAGAGTGGGTGCTCCGCCCGCTCTGAGCAGTCAAACATAATGTGAGAACAATGGCTGAGGAGCAGCAAATGTACTTTTTTTTATGCTGATGGAGAGATGGGTGCTGGCAAATAATAATAAGCGAGTGCCGCTCACTTTGTTTTTTTTTCGAGAGTGTGTTTTTTAACGCGTATGCTTGAATTTCGCATTAAATTTTTGTTGTAATTTTCAAATGCGTGTGACAGCAGTGGGTGGCGGGGCAGCCGACTGTGTGTGTGTGTGGGGAGTGTAGCAACAGCTGCGCTTGACTGACATTACAAATCAGCGACATGTCAGTGAGTCTTGTTTACTGTTCAGTCATCTGCCCCCCTCTGCCCCCTACTTGCTGCTGTCGCCTATCAGATGAAAATGCGTTTAAAATTGCGATTTTAATTGGAATTTGATAACGGCGCGCATGATTAAAGTTGACTTAAAGGCTCTTTAGCTCCCAGGGGAGAGCGAGAGTGACGTGAGCAGACAGCAGACAGCAGACAGAGTGGGCGCCACTTATAGTTAGTTGGCTGCAAAAATTATGCTAATCAAGTGGGCGAGCGCCTGACTCGGGCTCATTTGGACTAAGAGCTCATTATGACGATGGCCTTTTGTGCGACCGATGGCAACCGCCATCAAAGTCAACTTCATTATCGATTAGGGCATAGGGGGTAAACAGCAGGGCAAGAGTCAAATGTCGACTGTCGTCTGTCGACTTCCAGCAGCCAAATCCAGATGCATGTTGAGTCGGCAAGTGGACCAGATGCTCAAAGCGCTGACAAAAACAAATACCAGAATAATTTACCAGTATCAATACCGATACACGGGGCAAGTTCAGAGAGCAAGGCCAGATTGAACAGAGATAGATAGAGAGAGAATTGACGGAAAAGAGCAGAGCAAGTAGCTGACATTAACACATCATGTCGCTGACAGCGACAAGAAAATGGAGCCAACAACAGAGCCAGAGGAAATGAGCAGCTGTAGTATATTAGCAGCGCTCCATTGGCTGACAGAGCGGGCTGGAGGGGCAGTGTGGCATTGTGGACGCGGGGGCGGCGGGCGCATAATTTGCTGTCTAATCTCAACTAATCGACGGCATTTGCAATAATATGAAAAATGAAAGAAAAGTTGGCGTCGCCGATAATGATGACGATAGGGAAACGTACATGCAGCTGTTTCTATGGCCACGGTTAAAGCATACGGCGTATGGCTGTAGGTATGAAACTGTGGATAGACACATAAAAAAAAATAAAAAAAACAATGACAATGCCCGAAACTTTGGCTTAACAACTTTTGCACAGGCAAGTAAAAAGTTTGCCTATCGGCGCGAATCGGGGCAGGGAGCAGATGAAGGGGCCGGGGAGGGTGGCAACTAACAAAAGTCTGGTTGCCATTATAGTCCATTGCTGTCGGCGCTATCAGCATAAATTTCGTATTTGTATTATAATGCCTGTGGTTGTAGTTGTTTTTTTGTTGCTGTTGCTGCTATTGTTCAGCGCAAATTGGTTAATGAAAGCGACGGCTTACCCTGACAGACATGCTGTCAGGCAGACAGACAGACAGACAGACAGACAGACGAGCTGACATACTGGTAAATGCCAAACGGCAACTGACACCGCCCTCCCCACTGTCCACGTGAATTGGAATAATATTTTGCTACAGAAGCGGCTGCATCAAAAATTTACAATTTTACTACCCCATTGGAGAGCTGCAGATGTTTGGAGCACACACACAACAGAACAGAGGCAAATAAAAGTAAAATACTAAAAATGCGCATATATCCGATTTATGTGGCACTTGGCAGCACAATAATCGAGCATAACAAAAAACCAAAGCAGTTAAATGTACATAAAAGTCTGTCCTGCTGTCGGAACAGCAGCTGCCAGTGCACTGGTGCCGAGGCTGACAGCCAGCTAATAGCTGGCTAAGTCCACTCAACAGTTCAGGAAACTTTCGCCGACCGCACACTTAAGCGCTCTGCATATTACAAGTGCTGACAGCGAGGGCCGCTCGAGAAGTTACAGCGTAAGCTGGACTTAAGCTTAGTTTTAATTACTCCATGACCATGTCATAATGCGCAGCCAACTTATGGCCGACCCTCGTTGCGGACGGACATATGCCAGAAGCCAATGCGGAAACGCCAGCGAAGCAAGGGAAGCGAGAGTCAGGCGAGCCAACACCGAGAGAGGAAATATGTAACACGTTAATTACAATTAGCGAGCGGATGTGCGCGAACGAAAAAAGTGTTGCATACATTTAAGCGCAGCGCCTGGCAGCGGCAAGTGCATCAACTAAGTTTATCCATCCATTAAACTAATTAACAGCAAATTTGCATGGATCGTAAATAATCCCTGTGCAGGCTGGGCGAGGACGCTCGACTTGGGCTAAGGTTGTGGCTGCACACACACACCCAACACACATGCCACACCACACACACACACACACTCACACACACTCACATTCTTGTAAGGCCACCTGCCAGAGGCACACAATTGTGGCGCGTGGCTCTGCAAGGATTTTAATTAGAAAATTCCAGAAGTACAAGTGCCAGCCAGAAGTGAGCAGCAGCAGAGGCGGGAGCAGCGGCAGAGGCAGCGGCAGCGGCAGCAGCAGCAACTGCAACAGCAGTTGGCAGCAGGATTTGTGCACTTTTTAACACGTTGCCAGCACAAGCGCCTTCTCTTTGCCTTTGGCCCAAGTCACATTTTCTCTTTTTATTTTTTTTACTCCATTTTTCGTCGCTGTTTCGCTTGGCATTTGCATTGCAATTAGCTGGGCACTATAACGACCACGTCTAGGACTCTCAATCCCTCTCTCTCACTCTCTCTCTGTCTCTCTCTTGCTGTGAGTGACCCTGCTCATGGAGCGCTTTAAGCGCTTTTAATGCCGCGCAATTAGCCAGGCTGTTTATGCTATTTAAATCGCTTGCAACTAACACAACTAATTGTCGGACAACAGGGCGAGGCGACCAAGGATAATGCAACCACCTGGATGAGCAGGCTGTTGTTTTCATGTTTTTCATGTTCAGCTGATATTCGCACTGCAGCGCCATTGACCCACTTTTTGTCCACTTGCCACATGCAACTGTGTTCATTTGCACATTGAAACCACTCGGAAAGTAAAATCAGCGACTGTCACTTTAAATTATGTCATCGGCAGGCAGTGCAGATGCGGTGAAGCGATAACTTTTCTGATTGAAGTTGCAGTGCAGCGATGCCATAGGGCTGAGGCGGGGCAGAAACAAATAATTTATCGGTGAAAATAAATTGTAATTCAATTCTAGCAAGTATGTAATTAAAAATGTGTCTCAGGCATATTTCATTTGTTTTAACAACTAGTTGAACTGTCAGCTAGGCTGACTGTCACATTGGCACATAAAACAGAAAATGATAAAAATAGAATAGGAGAAAAACAAAGAGAAGAAACCAAATTTTCGGTACAATTGTTACAATAAAGTTTAATTACCTCCTCGTGATGGTACCAGAATATGTAGGCCGGCGGCTCGGGGCTGAACTTCACAGTGCAAGTGAGATTTATGGTGCTGCCTTTATCAACATGAAGGTCAGGTCCGCCAAGTATGGTCGCCGTTGGCACTGTCAACAGGAAACACCAATGAAAAACAGCAGACGAGTCACCGAAAAAAATAAAAGTGGAAAGAGAAACGAGATGAGGCTGTGTGTAGAGAGGGGGGTGAGGGGCATAGGAAAAAGAAATGCTGTTAAAACGAGTCAGACACGGGCAAAGCTGACGGGCCGGCCGCATAGGTAGGAGGCTCGAGCTCTGCTAGCCTGGCTGACACTGTAGAATAATAAACTACAAGATAAAATGAAATTATTGTCGTATAAAAAGCAAGTCCTCGACGTTCCATCGCCTTGCCACTCGACATTGTGCCCATTCGCATCCTCATTCTCCGCCTCATCGTCGTGCTCATCCTTATGCTCGGCGTCGTCTTCGTCGCTGCGTCTTTGGGCCGTGCGTGTTGCTCACTCGTTTGCTGTATGTAATTTATTTGCTCAACAACTTTTTTGCTTGCCTTCATGGCGCGAGTGTCCTTTGGCTTTGTTATTTGCGACAAATGGTTGATTTTTTTATTTTATGAAGCCAAAGCGAGAGCCAGAGGCACCGCCGCCGTCCCTGTCGCTGTCCCTGTCGCCGCCAATGTCAATGCCTATGCTGAGCCGATGCTCGCCACACACAAGCGTAATCGTTGTCTTCACCTGCTCAGACTCATGCTCGCACTCGCATTCGTACTCACCGACAACATTTAGACGTACAAAATAACTGCGAACGGGCTGGGTTGATATCTGGCACTCGTACATGCCCGCATCTCGCTTCTGGGCCCATTTTATCTGCAGCGTCCAGTCGTCGGTGTCCTGATGATGTGTGGCCTGAAACCTCTGATCGGACGTGTACGTATAGGAGCCCACTGTCAATATGTGTATGTCCCGATGCCGTATCCAGGATACCTGCATGGAAAAAACGAAAAGCAAGCAAACAAAGATATTGCACGAAATGTCAATCAAATGAAGTACTCGATATCTCAGTGTGGGCAATCCGAGGGGGCAGGAAATGTTTTATGGTCGAAAAGAAACGAAAGCAAAGATAATCGAAACGGGGTGACTTATTTGATCAAGGGGAAATTTTAAATGGATATTGCCCAATGTTTCTCTGCCACTCTGCCATTTCTATAATCGACATACCCCATTCTAGCCGCCAGACAAAAGGCTGGGTATAACAGCCCCAAAATCTTTTTGTTTATGGCCAGAGGTAAAAAGCTGGCATTAAAAATGCAGCAATTGAAAAGCGAATTGCTGTCGCAGTGTAATCAAAATCGAGTGAAATGCGCAAGGGTTTCGCAGGGTTCTTCAATATCCTTTTCTTTTCGGACTGTGTGTGTGTGTGCATGTGTGTGCGTGTGTGAGCCGGATGGATGTCCTTCAGCGATTAATCAGCAGCCATGGCGTATTCTCTCATTGTTAATGGACGCGTATCTCATCCAAGTTGATGGCACACATGACGTATACGCAACGTGAGCTTGTTGTTGCTGCTGCTCCTGCTGCCGCCGTTGTTGTTTGGCTACGGCAAGTTTATGGCCGTGTCGTGGTCCTTGATGAATCTGGGCACGGGCATGCCGAGAGTGCGCTTGAAACAGTTGTTGCTTTTTTGGCTCTTTTGCTGCTGGTGAGTTTTGAGTTGTTTTTAGCTTTGGCTTAATTATAACAAACTTTTTAAGTACTTGCAGCGCTGAGTTACAACTTTGTAAGCTTAATGCTAAACAGCATTGCGCTCTATCTCTCTCTATCTCTCTCTCGCTCTCTCTCTATCTCTGTCTCTGTCGCTGCCTCTGTCTGACACTTGATATGCACAACTTATTAAGTCAAATGCAAATGCAAAATTATCGCAGTTGCCAGTTGCTGTGCTTCAAAAACTTACAAAATGTTGCCTGCAGTTCGCCCCGCACGCGGGGCGTGGCACATTTTGGTGCGTGCGTTTAATTATACGAAATGTTGTTGCACACTAAACAATGACAAGCCTCACACACACATCGAACAAGCCGGAGCCACTTGGCGGACTGTCGCTTCGGCAGCTTTGAGGGACGCATGTGGACCGCAATGAGTGTATAAAAGTGTGAAAAACATGTCGACAAGGGGCTGCCATTAAACAAACATTTTACGCAACAAATTAAAGTGTAATTAACAAGTGCACGCTGTGCTCCATCAGCAACAACAACAACAACAACAACAGCAGCAGCAGCAGCAGCAGCAACTGCAACAAAACACGCATCGCCTGACAATGTCCCAGTGCACGCAGCTCCCCTTTGCCTCAATGCCCAGTCTCTGGCATATTAGCAGCAACACACACACACAGACTTGTTACTCACCCCCCTTTAAGCACACACACACACCCATCAAATCTGCACCCAACATGTCCTGCTGAGCTCGTTTCGGTTTGTTGTTTGGTTTTCTCGGCTCGGACTGCGCCAAGTGCTGTTGACGCGTGTGGCGAGTGCAATTTTCACGAAATTGTTTAAATAATTTCGCGCTTAAATGCAATTGCAAGTGTTTTGTGGCAAGGGGGTGACAGTGGCAGCATGGCAGCGTGATGGCGTGAGTTCCGATGGGCGTGGCCAGCCAAAAAGGGCCAACCGCCCACAGCAGTTAGTCGCTGACGTGTGGCACCCTCCACTCGACGCTTTTGTGTGTTGCCAAGAAATTAAAAGTTGCTGCATGCTGCAACTACTTCTGGGTGCCACAAACTCCTGCTGCCGCTGCCCCTCCAGCTCCCTCGCCACTGCTACTACTCCTACTGCTGGCTGCTCTTGCCGTTGGCGCATTTATGTCAAGTGCTCGGTAGTTCAGCGCGTGTGCTCAAAGTTTGTTGGTTTTTGGCATTTGAAGCCCTGTTTGTTTGCCTTAGCGCCGCGTGCGACGCATTGTTTGTTAATGAGCGTTCGAATCTTTTCGGCAAGCACTTTTTGCCACCCAGCTCCCGGCTCTGCCTGGCCGCGCCACTGCCCCGCTGTGCACCCCGGGCAGCGGGCACGTGCCGCTCTTTGGGGGACTCCAATGATTAATCGCACTGCGCAACACTTTCGTTGCCTAATTATTCATAAACTTGTCTGTTACGCATATTAAAAAAGTTCAGAGAGAAGCGCCGATAAAAAATTGTCACGCACAGATGGCATCTCTGACAGTCAGACATTTCATTCCATTTAATAAGTTACACTTTACTCCAAATATGTATTCCGAAGGAGCAAACGAGGTACTAATTAATATTTTAAAGAAGGCCATTATCATATATCATCGTTATCATCATCAGAAACTAAGTTGAGACCATCAAGAGGCATATCTATTGAACAGCTCTAGCTAGTCCAGCTGAGAGATCCTTTAGCTTTCATAACTGTAACTTACAGTCTCACATATTTGTTGAGCAGTGTAGCTAGCAGTCTTAGTCGATCACAGGCAGCAGCAGGTTGCCTTGGGAGCTACGGCTTGGCAGGCTGTCTCTTAAATGGATGACATAACGTGGCAGGGCGCAATTAAAGCAGATAAACAAAGGAAACAATTGCAATAACAGTCTGCCGCTTACAGCAGAACTGAATGAAACAATTTCTAAATTTCTAAAAAGAAAACAACTTAATACGGACTTAGGACGCAGGACGCGACCTCTCCCACTCTAGGCTGCCATCAAGAAAAGGTCCTTTTGCGCAGCCCCACGCAGCTCGGCACGTCGCAGACAAAACAAAAATAAAAATATAAAAAAACAACAACAACAACAACAAAATGGGGTGGGCGTGTAACTAATTAAAAATTTCGCAGTCATGCTAGGGGAATTACATTTTGGCAACGCGTCTGTCGACCAGGTTGGCAAATCAACGAAGTCAACAATTACGAGCACAGCCAGAGCGAGCTGGGCGAAGCTGAGAATAACCAAACAGTTGGTGGGCGTGATAGCCGGCTGAATGGGCGTCAGCGACACACATCGCCCGGTTGGCGGGGCGGGTAATGTCAAAAAACTTTAAAGGCTGCAGCGGATCGTCACGAACAGGCGAAAAGTTTTAGCCATCTAGCTGCTGCTGCTGCTGCTGCTGCTAGCTGTTAGTTGTTGGCACTCACCGTTTTGTTGGCCAAATTGCGCACGCGGCAACTGAGATACGCGGATTTGCCCATGAGGGCGGTGACATTGCGGGGCGTCGAGGGATCAAAATACGGCTCCATCCATTTGGGATGCGTGTAGGCGGCAGTGGGAATCGTGGCCAGTCCTGACGGCGTCGTTGCCAGCTCATCCAACGAGTTGTAGCCCTCGATGGGTCCATGCACGCCGCCATTTGTCAAATCTGCAACGAGTTGCCAGGGCAAAATCAAATTCAATTAATATCTTGCATCGGCTAATTAGAAATTGATCAAATTTTACTTGTGTGCACACAGTTTATAGGTATTAAGAGCTATGCTGCGCAGCACTTTTAAATATGTAAACAAATATCACGCATACGCCCCGAAGCCTAGTTTTTAATAATTCATTTGACAGTTGGAATTTTTCCCATTTTTTTATGTCATATGCAAAGCTGATGTACAAAAATATTTATGGAAAGCCACATAAATGCACTTTTAACCAATTTTTTTGCGGGCTACACGAAGCATATTAGGTTAAAAACAAATTAAATGGAGAAAAAAATGAAAATATTTCGGAATTTGCCTTTAAGTTCATAAGCCAACAAGTTTTGGGAAATATCATATGTCTCCATTTACAGGAACTCTACTGTTTTTTCGTGCTATTTGCAAGTACGAGTGCGTTTTTGCGCCTTTCGTCAGAAAATATTAAAAACTCGTTGACAAAAGTGCAGAAAAGAGAGCAAAAAAATGTTGTGGCAGCAACTTTTCAGCGTGCGACATTTGCTAGCAGCGAGCGACAGTGAAAAATAAATAAGAAGCACGCATCAGGTGAAAATTCAGAAAAAAATCAAAATGTCACAGCCTCTGCATGGCCACACACTTTATATCTTGACAGCACTCGTCAGCCTCGTCAGGCTGCAGCTTGACTTTTGTCATCGGCTTAGAGAGTGCGACAGAGATAAAGTTTGTTCATTAAGCCAGCTGCCCGCCGACCGTCGGCCGTCGGCCGTCGGCCGTCGACCGTTGAGCGTGGTTGGACGGTGTACAAGTGGCCACAATGGCAGCCACTGGCAACTCTTTAGTTTCAATTTAGAAATGAACCACTGAGCCACTGAACCACTGAAAGGGCATCAGCGAATGCCGGGGCAAATGCATTTCAAAACCGCAAGCAGCTGCAAAAATGAACGCACTGGGAATGAAAATGGGATATGGCGCCCACCCTGGGCAGCGGCAGGAGAAGTCAGGGCAGGGGGCTGTTCGGCTGGCCCAGGCACGGCGAGTGAAGTGTTTGCGGTTGGCAAGTACAAGTGCACACACGCACACACACACATATACACACGCACAAGAAAAATGAAATTGTGTCACTGCTTACATCACGAGGCAGGCAAAAACCTCACACACACACACACACAGACACTCATGTAGGCAAACCGCAAGTGACTGCATGTGTGTGTCTATATGGAAGAGTCGAGCTCATGGTTATGCAAAATATTTGCACTCAAATCATATTTCAAGGATTAAAACTTGCATTCATTCGAAAGCTGTTTTTCCACATGCACGCCTTCACACACACACACACACACATACACGTACACACACGCGCACAGACTTACTTATACAGAGACATCTATGGCCGCTCTCAACTTCGGCTTCATTAAACAAAAGGTTTCCAGCATATGACGCGCATTTGTATGCATGTATTGCCGCCTCCATAGGCGTGGCATGCATACGATAGACGCTTAAGCTTAATACGCTTAATACCCATTGCACAGAAAATTGCACAAATTTTCTGTAAATATTGCATTCACTTTTAATAAAACTGCAGCTGAGCTTCTCATCTCTTCTTCTTTCTTTTTTTGCCGCCCATAAAAGTATGCTACATATTTTGCAAAATCTCCCAGACAAGCATGCAACAGCTTTAAAGCCAAGCCGTCGAGCTGTTGGGCAATATGCGCAGGCAAAAACAGAAGAAAAAAAAAATTCAATTGCCCCAGCTGAATGTGCTTCATTTCAGGCCTCTGTGAGGAAGTGTGTGTGTGTATGTGTGTGTGTGGAATGGCATTGAATGTGCTGTTTGGGAAGGGGTGATTGAGTGTTTGCTTAATCATTACGCAGGCTGTGCACGCCCACTGACTGGCTGATGGGCTGGTGGGCTTTTCATACAATGACTTTGCATACTTGCGTTTAATTTGAGAGGACAACGAACGCAACGGGAACGGACGCAACGACTGCGTGAAGCAATTAAGAAAACTTTTGTAATTTTCATGCCTCTATATTTTTGGCATATTTTGTCTACCCTGCTGAGTAGGAGGCATATTTATGTGTATGATAACGGCATCAGGTTTCGCAGCACTGCTCTGAAGATGCTCTTGAAGGCAATGCCCGAAGAAGATTCATTGACTTTGCATCAAAGGGTATTCCGAAGGCAGTCACTTAATTTGCCAGCCACAAGCAACTTGGGTAATTTTGTGGAATTTGATCCTGTTTCACTAAAATCATGCCTAATGTGTAACACTTTGAACCCGTAGCTCAATGAATTTGGTGCCTACTAATTGCCTGCTTATTGGGGGTGTTTTATGGCATTGAATTTGTAGTCAATTTCGGCACACTTCATTGCCTTTGATATCTTCTGTCTGCATCTGGATGTAGGTGTGCCCATGTGTTTGCCTGTGCGTGTGTGTGTGTGTATGGGTAATTAAAAATCAACATCAGGCGTCAATAGTTGAGCTGCTATTGGGCTCAGGCCGACTCCTCGCACCATTAATTTCCCACTAATGCAACATGACGAGCGCTATTCTGATTGGAATTGGCTTGTCCTGTCGAAGAATGGAGAATGGAAACTGGAGAATCGTGCGGGGATTGCCACTGCTACAGCTACAGCGCACGCTAGCATGAATAATGATGCCTTTTGACATTGTCTAAGTAGTTTTATGCGTGGCAACATGAGTCGACTGGAAATACCGCCAGTGAACAGAGCCAACTGCTCGCAGCTCTGCTCGATGGGCTGTCATTGAAGCTAAACTGGACGGCGCGCTGATTGCCACTCGAGTATGCATGTGGCACGCAGTCGGCACCTTGGCGTTGACGTCGACAGCGACAGCGACAGCGGCGTCGCCGTCGGTGGCTGGCACTGTTGGCAACCACTTAACCACTCAACCACTCAGTTACTTATTTATTTATGTGCTGCGCAATGCATTGCGCGGCTTTTGTTGCCAACATTCTACGCCCTCATTCAGCGAGCGATGCTGCCTTTCGCCGGCTGCGGCTGCGGCTGCCGTCTTAATTAAGCTTAAATGATGCTGCAAAATTTATTTCATTTCGCACTCGAGTCTCAACCTGAACCTGTGCATGAACCTGTTGTGGGAGTGTCTTCTATACGCGCGGCATGCATATAAATTATCCAAGCAAATTACATGGCACACAGCGAAAATTGAAATGTGGCTACTGTGACATGTGTGTGTGTGTATGTATGTGTGTGTGTCCGGGAGTTGTTTCAGTTCGGCTTGACTGCACAGCTGTCATATTTGTTTTATTCACAGCTCAGCGTTGATTAATTTGAATGTCCTTCATTAAATCATTTCAATCGGAATGTGCATCAACTGCTCGCATGATTAATTTCTAAAATAAGACGAAACTGCATTCAGAATTAAATTATACATTTTGAGTTTCTTTAATAATTCTAGAAAATTTAATTGTTCTGTAAATAAATATATTAAGTTTTCTCCATTTCCACTTCAGATACTCCTCGCTGAATACTTAAAGTAAAGTAAACCAGTTAATGCATCATTGATCGAGTTTACAACTATCTTAAATGGCGGCCAAACGCTTAAACGAAACTTGATTAAGAATTTAAGAATATTGGCGTGCATTTTGTGATGGCATTCGAAAACCCTTTGAGCTACGAGCCCTTCGGTATTCGGCTAAATTTCAGCCTTTGTCTTTAGAGTGAGTCTTTGTGTAACTTGTTATCCGTAACGTTGATTGACAACATTTTTGCGCAATGCTTTTGTTGCTGTTGTTGGTCTTCTTCCTCCTCCTGCTGATGCTGCTTGCTGCTGCTGCTGCTGCTCCTGCTGTTGTTGTTTTAGTTTGTTTGTCTTTGCATAGCCACTTCGGCTGACAAAACATGCGATACGATGCGACACGACAAGACAAGAACAACAGCCAGGCAACACAAACACACACACACACACAGAGACGCACACACTCACATACACATAACTCATATATGAAATATTCGTAAAATTTCATACAAAGTACAAGCAAGTGTCATGTGTGTGTGTGTGTGTGTGTGTGTAAGTGCTGTATGAGGCTGCGAAAGCTGAAAACATAAAATTAAGTTTACTCTACAAGAAGTTGCCTGGTTTTGACTGCTTCGCTGGCTGGCTGGCTGGGTAGAAAGGCTGGCTGACTGCCTGCATCTGGCAGGGCTTATCACCTCTGGCCTTACCGCTGAAGCTTATAATGAAGCATTGTTTGTTGCACAAAGTTTGGAACGGAATGAAAACAGCAAGAAACCAGCTAAGAGCCAACAACAAGTCAAAGCATTCATGTCTCGAAGAAAGCCAAGTCTCAGGACATGCCTGTGTGAGAGTGAGTATGTGTGTGTGTGTGTGTGTGTGTGAGGGCATATCTGGTTGGCTGACAAGATATTAAAATAATATTTACAAAGACTGAAGTGGTGCGTATAATGCATAAGATGCCGGGCAGCCATACAAGACCAGGGACTCGACACACTCAAGCAGTCTCAAGCACAGGCCGATGATAATAAGCAGCATCTGCATTCGAATTTGGCCACGTGATAGCCTGATTAGAGCCGGTAGGTCTCTGGCCCTTTCGGTTATTGTTTGGCATTTTCGACAATGTCCACTTGTTTTTATTAATGATCATCATAGATTTTCCAATCAGGAGCAGTAATCCCAGGGCCCTCCAATGGCAACTGGAATGGCAATCTACAGCAAGCACGCAGTTCGTATTTCACTCAGCCTTCTGCTGCCATTTTCCGGCACGCACTTTCCCATCTCAACATTATTATGTTCTTCCCTTTATTTTGTGCTCGGCAGACAGGATTCAATTCAATCGCTTGGAAAAGGGTCACAAATGGCGTTTCAAAATGTCACTTGGCACCGAGACTTTTTTTCTCTCTTTTCTCTCTTTCTTTCTGTCGATGCTGTCGAATTTTAATTGCGTACGTTAATATTTGGGTTCGGGCAGCAGATCGGCA